TTTTATTTTAGGCTTTTTAAAATTTTAATATATATTAAATATATATTAAAATATATTCTTTGAAATACAAAAGACTAGTAATAATACTGAGAAATTATACTGATTATACTTATAGTATACTGATGATACTGATACTAAAATAATACTGATCATAAAATTTTTAATTTAATGATCGAATCACTTTTCAACTAAAAATCAATGAAAGGAGAATATCTTCGTGTATAGTTATGTACTTATGTACGTACATACTGAAATCATCTAATTTTAAATTTAAAGATCGAACCACTTTTCATTTAAATTTTGCAAAAAAATTATTTGGTTTAGGTGCTTTGGTGAAATTCTGTTACGGAGCTTTGTTGCTATAAGACCAGCATGAGAAAAGAGTCTCTCAGAAGGCACAGACGTCGCGAGCACGGGTAGATATTTTAAAGCAACTTTATATACATGAGGATATTCTTCTTTCATTGTTTCCCACGCAATCAGGGGATTAGGATTGTCTTTCCTGCTCACAGTAGGCCGGTTTAAGGCCAGGTCACTTTCAGGCAGAGTCCTCTTTATTACAGCCAAATTAATGAACAATTTGAAACAGCCTTTACATGATAACAATACAACAGAATGAATTTCTTTTTTCAGGAAAATGATTATTTATGAAAAATACACGACCAGATACTTTTGACTGTTTTATTTATCGAAAAAAAATTATTAACATTAAATTATATGTGAACAGTTTTTCAGCAACAAAGCTTCGTAATGATTCTAACTGCAACAGCCTTTTCTTGAAAATGACAAAAAACTATACTATTTCCATTTGTGAAAATGAATATTAGTAAGAAAAATACACCCCGATCCTATTATAAATGCAAAAATGAGAAAAAAATGTATTTTGATTAAAATAGATAAGTACTGTTATCCATCAGGTAATGACCAAATGTGACAGCTGTTCTATGAGTATAATGTGACTAGATGTTTGGCGATAGTGCGACGAGGTGGCGCTGCATGCGTCACAGTAAAAAGTAAACAAAAACTAAATATTCATTATTTTTCTTTTTTATTTGAAAGAGTATTTTCGTAAATGTATAAGAAAAATAATTTATTCATTTCTGTTTTTAATTATTAGCAAATAATAATTATAAATAAGCTGTGCATAGAGAAGATTACTTATTATTTTACGAAAAAATGTGCCAAAAGTGAAAAATAAATGTGATTAGTGAAAGTTGGTGAAAAGTGGTTTCTTGTTTCTACAAAGCTTTATTACTTGTAATAAGTAAGTAATTTAAATTAATTTCAGTAGGTGACATAACCTTAAATTCAAAATACAAAAATGAAATTTATTTGTATTATTTTCTGTTGACGTAAAACGTTTTTTGGTCTAAAATATAGAAATATAATGTAGACTAAGAAATATAAATAATAACAGTGTCGTAATAAAATTTTTAATTTTTTAGTAATCAGTTCGCACTTAGAATGTGTCAACATTGTGAAAAATTGAAATACTTATTTTAATGATTATATAAAAAAAATTTATTTTTAGTAATAATAGAAAAATAAATTTTTTACTTTAATATTCTTCTTTAAAAAGTCTAATTAATATCTAATAAATAAAAAAATTTCTACATTTTAAGCATAAATTCTTTACCATTTCTATGATTCCATTAATCAAAATTAAATTTATGAGAATGACAGGTTTTCTATAAGTTTGGTAAACAATGTTTATTGACCGCAGTTTTTAATACGCAGCTATTAAAGAATATAACCTTTATTTTTTTAGTAATTAAATTGAAAAAAAAAACTTAAAATAATTTATATTATCAATAAATTTATGTAAACTGCGTAATTTCACGTGTCAAACTCTGTAAATTATTTTTAAACAAAGAAATGAAAATTTTTTTCTGTATTTGGAAAATTGACATTGTTTTATACTTCATACTAAACACGACAAATAGGTCTCTTTTCACGTGAAAGCTTACATTTTTCAATATTATTTATAAAAAATTTTTACTTTATACACATGTTAAAAATAATTTATTTTGTTGCAGGTTGAAAGAGTCAATTATATTATAATAAGATTTCAATTACACGGAAAAAGGAATTATTATTATGCAAATTGCTGAATTATTTTGAAGTCAAGAAAAAGATAAAAGAAAGTATATGAAATCTTTTAGAAAGTTGGAGAAAAAATGATTTAGGAGGATCTAAAATGTTAGATAACATGAAGATATGTATGGAGAAAAATTTAGCCTCCGGAAATGTTATGAATTTCTCCAATTCGATTGATTGATTAAAAAAATTTCGAGTTGAAAACTGTTTTAAATTAATTAAATTTTTTGAAAAATTAAGAAAATTTTAATTAATTTTGGGTGTAACATATACTTTATATATATATCGATTCGTTTCAATGCAAGGAATACAATTATTATATTTATTAACTTGAATTTTAAAAAAACACAGATTTTTTTTATCTAAAATATGAATTTTCGATTTTTCAATTTTTATTAATTCTCAAATTTTAAATCAAATCTATACTTTATATATACCAACTAATTCGTTTCAATGCAGAGAATAAAATTATTTCATATATAAACATGAATTTAAATAAACACAACATTTTTTAGCTAAAATGAGAATTTTTGATTTTTTAACTTTCATTAATTCTTTAAATTTCGCTCAAATCTATACTTTATATATATCAATCGATTCATCTTGATGTAAGGAAGACGATTATATTATATATTACCTTAAATTTTTCGATTTAAAAATTTTTCAATTAAAAAAAAAGTTTTGGAAAAAAGACGATAAAATTTTTTTTTTGGGTATTTTTAAAAATTCTCTCGTCATTTTTGAGAGATTAATGTGTTAAATAAGCCTACAAAATTTTATTCAAATCCATTAAAACCTGTTAAAGATATCGTGTTTACAAAAACGATCCACACACACATACATACATCCGGACAATTGATCAGGATCTGTTAACATGTATCTCTATAGAGGAAAATTTTTTTTCCCCATTTTTAAAAATTTTATAAATGAAAGGATTACAAAATGGTTGAAAAACTATCTCTATTGTTTATTGTGTGTATATATATATATATTTGAGTTAATAAATAAGTAATTTACAAAAGACAAAAATAGTTAACTATAAAGCATTTATTAACCTTAGAACACAACATAGCTTACTTATACGTAGAAGCAAAACAATATTGTTTTATTGATAGAATGTTTATATATAGCGCGAAATATCTTTATTATGTAATTTTTTTATTTTTTTATAAGGAAGAAGATAGCGTTTTTTGATATGAACAAAAATATAGCCAAAAAGCTACAAAAAAAATTGCGAAAGATGCCGGGTTTAAAATTTGTGCTGTCTCAGGTTAATTTAATAAAGTAAATATTTTTTTATAATATTTAAATACTATTTAAGTAAAATTAAATTATTAAATTAATGATTCAAATAAAGTGTTTTATAAATTAAGACATAAATTACAATTTTCTCTTTAAAAATGTATTATTTATTTTTACTAGGTAAGTTTTTTTTCATAGGTATATTTAGTAATAATTTTTTAATAAAACTTATGTAATTTGCAATTTTAATTTTAAGGGGTTAGACTACTGTCTACAGCTTCAAAATAATATTCTTTATGAAAGTACGTAGTAGGTTTTTTTATAAAAAACTTTTTTTTTATTAACAATTTTGTACCAAAAAACTCAAAAATGTTATTTAAATACGTGCCATTTTCACAAAACTTAGTTTTTTCACAAACCCCCAAGTAATTCCATAGATTTTAAGTAATAAATTAACAAAAAAATCGGTTTTTCGTTCTAATTCAAAAACTAAAATATATTTTCTACCGCCCGTACACCTCTGCAAAAAAATGGTTGTTATGAATCGACTGTCAGCGCCGCTATTTAAATTTATTTACCTTTTAAAAATAATTTTTTAATAGTTTCATATGTACTTAACAATAATATATAATTATTTTTTCAATTCATTTCATTCTGCTCTTGAAAAATATCTTAAAAATGGGTCTGATTTTCGGTCTTCACAGTGGTCAAACCCCTTTAATAAAAATAAAAATTTCTAGTTTCTGAAGAGGACAGTAGATCATTTAAATTATCTAAAGATTGTTTTCTATATTCATTAAAACATTTATTTCTAAATTAAAGGGAGGAACTGTAGAATTTTAATCAAATTTAACATCTAGCAAATTAATTTTCATCTCAGTAAAAATTCTGCAAGATTAAGAATCGAATTATGCTGCAAAAGTAACATTCTGACAATCAAATATTTTGCTAAAAAAATATTCTACATAACAAAAACCGTTTAAAGAAGTGAAAATTTCTCAAATATATATTGAGTTTTTAATTTAATTAATATTATTTCTGAGTTTGGAACGAGTCAGCAAATTAGTATAGAAGGTAGGTTTAAATAAATATAAAATATCGTTTTTTTGCATAAAAAAGTAAAAATTATTGATTTAAAATTTCCTCAATTATTTCAAGATTTTATCCCAATAAACCTTATTTTAAAGTAGCATACAAATTCGTCGAAAAATGATTATATTTTGAGAATATATATTCGCGGATTTGTTTACTGGGATGCAATTCTCTATCGCGAGTCTTAATAATTACTGTCAAATCTTTTAAAATACAGCAAAAACTGAATAATCAATTTTTTTAAAATTAAACACTTTTTATGGTATTGACAAATTTTTAAACGAAATTAAAAAAGTGTTATTAGTTCCTTATTTAGAATGTTATGATAATTATTTTACTAGCTTTAGACAATACTTGAATTTTAGAGAGTTTTCAATTAAAATTTTTTTAAATAATGCAATTTTTGAAAAACTAAGATACTATTATTAAAATTAATTTATTTTGCAGAGAATTTAATTATTATTTTTAAAAAAGTTTTAATTTAGGAGGATTATCTACATTTCATACTAATAAAAGTCGTATTTTGTTGAATATGTTTTTTATTATATATTTTATATAAATTTTAAAAATTAAATAGAAAGTCCTTGACCGCCTCCTCTTCCACCACGCCAACCATTGAAACCGCGGCCACGTCCTCCACGGTCTCCTCTATTACCGCGACCTCCTCTACCACCGCGTCCTGGATTTTTGTTTATGACACCGTGCTTTACCATCATTTTGTCCAGCATTTTATGCATTTCTTTTTGAAATTTCTGTAATCAAAGAAAAATTGGATGTAAAGTAATATTCAAATAATTAATTTTGAAAAAAAATTTATATAGTGCCGCTCAGTAGATTTTGCCCACCCTGCAGAATTTTAGGCGTTGCAAAAAGTTTTATATTTTTGTTTCTAATAAAGATAAAACAATAAACATAGACTTTTTTAAAGCTAATATTCTCTAGTTATAGAATATCTGGAAAGTAAATTAAATTTTTTTTATTGATTAACTGCTCTAATTAACAAACAAAATTTTCCATTTTTTTTGTAAATTTTAAACTAATATATTTTTTTAACAAATCATTACATTTTAATTGCACATATATCATTAGAAAGGTAATGTTAAACCTCCAAAAAAAACTTTTTTGAAAATTGTGATACGAAAAATGTTCACAAAGATATGGTCAATTGTTTAAAAAACAGCCCTTTTTTAATTAATAATAAATCGAGAACGGTTGTTTATTGAAAAAATTTGTTACGGAAAAAATGTTCTTCCTTATGTATAGAATTAGAAAAAAATATGTAGAAGTTAAAAAAAAAATTTTATTCTACTATGTATTGTGCTTATACTTAAATATACATTATGACCTTATATACACGGTATGTAAAAAAAGTAAAATTAATTTTTTTTAACTTCTACATATCTTTATTTGAAATCTATACATAAGGAGGAACATTTTTTTTCTTAACAAATTTTTCCAAAAAACAAGCGTTCTTGACTTATCATTAATTATAAAAAGGCTGCTTTTTTAGCAATTGACCATATCTTTGTGAAAATGTTCGTATCACAACTTTCAAAAAAGTGTTTTAAAGGTGATAAAATTACCTTTCTAATGATATATGTGCAATTAAAATTTAATGATTTGTTAAAGAAATATATTAGTTTAAAATTTACCAAAAAAATGGAAAATTTTGTTTATTAATAAGAGAAGTTAAAAAAAATTAATTTTACTTTTTTTACATACCGTGTATATAAGGTCATAATGTATATTTAAGTATAAGCACAATACATAGTAGAATAAAAATTTTTTTTTAACTTCTACATATTTTTTTTTAATTCTATACATAAGGAAGAACATTTTTTCCGTAACAAATTTTTCCAATAAACAACCGTTCTCGATTTATTATTAATTAAAAAAGGGCTGTTTTTTAAACAATTGACCATATCTTTGTGAACATTTTTCGTATCACAATTTTCAAAAAAGTTTTTTTTGGAGGTTTAACATTACCTTTCTAATGATATATGTGCAATTAAAATGTAATGATTTGTTAAAAAAATATATTAGTTTATAATTTACAATGTCTATGTTTATTGTTTTATCTTTATTAGAAACAATAATATAAAACATTTGCAACGCCTAAAATTCTGTACGGTGGGCAAAATCTACTGAGCGGCACTGTATGTTCTAGAAATAATGCTATTATAAAACTTACTTTAACGTTCACTTCAGTTTTTTTTGGGGCCTCTGTTCTCTGTGAAACACCGCTGTTCATCGAGCTTTCACCCGCATTGACGACGTTTGCATTCGCTGTGGAAGAAGCTGCCTGCAAGAGGGAACCCCTTAACAAATTTTCTTGCATTGTAGACAGCATTGTAGACTGCTGCAATGCCAGAATAGATGCAAGGGTGTTCTCTGATCCAGGAACACTTCCCCATTGCGGGTAGAAGCCTGGTGTAACATGCTCTTGACCGGAAAAATACTGGTTAGCAGAATTCATATGTGAAAAATATCCTGCACCGTATCTTGGAGGCGGATAAACCATATTAATCGGCTGTTGGAAGTAATGTGGACCACGGCTTGGTCCTGGCACATTGTATTGTGCTCCAATACTTCCAGCAGAAGATGAAAATCGGTTACTCTGCATTTGAGTTGGTGTAGGACCTGGAAATCCAATTCCTTGCGTTGGCAATGGAAAGTTGTATGGTCCAGATGGACTTCCCCATTGCTGACCAATAAATTGGATTTCCTCCTGCACAATAAAATTTTGCTGATCAGTATTTCTACGGTCAATATATTCCACATTCAAATTATCCTCGTCTGCTGGTGGTGGAGGTGGCAGTGGATTTTCTGTTGCAGGTGGTAGTGGTGGCGGTGAATTTTCTGCTGCTGCTGGTTGCGGCAGTGGATTTGCTGCTGCTGGTTGCGGCAGTGGATTTGCTGCTGCTGGTAGCGGCAGTGGATTTGCTGCTGCTGGTTGCGGCAGTGGATTTGCTACTGCTGGTAGAGGCAGTGGATTTGCTGCTGCTGGTTGCGGCAGTGGATTTGCTGCTGCTGGTTGCGGCAGTGGAATTGCTGCTGCTGGTTGCGGCAGTGGATTTGCTGCTGCTGGTTGCGGCAGTGGATTTGCTGCTGCTGGTTGCGGCAGTGGATTTGCTGCTGCTGGTTGCGGCAGTGGAATTGCTGCTGCTGGTTGCGGCAGTGGAATTGCTGCTGCTGGTTGCGGCAGTGGAATTGCTGCCGTTCCTTGAGGTAGAATTTTTTTTGCGACGGGAGGATCTGCTTTTTTATAAAAAGAATTCCTTGTTTTTAATCCTGTGGAATAAAAAGGTGTATTAATAAATAATAAATTTAATGTTATTAATAAAAATAGATTTTTTTTCTGTACATTCTTGATAAAATTTAATATTAGAGACATTTCATATGAGAATACAGGGTCATGCCTCGGATTTTTCTCAAAATTCGGTAAATTGTAGTGATAATGGTGCTAAATAAGTGTACAAATTTTGAATTCGAAATTTTTAATATTTTTCGAGATATTTACAATAACAAATTAGAGCAATAGTTCTTTGTTTTACTTATAACTTTTCCCCTATTAAAAATAGAAAAAAATGTTGTGAATGTTTTTTATGCAAAAGACCTTAAACTTTTAGAAAAAAATTATTTTCTAAAAAAAATATTAATTTTTAAACAATTTGTTTAAAAAATAAATTTTGTTTATAACTTTTAAACATGTTCTCCCTCATTTGGAAGCGCGAAAAAAATCATGAATATTGTTTAAGTCATAATAAATCGATGGTTAAATTTTTGAGATGGCATTATTTTTTGTTTTCGAGATATTAATTAATTAACTAACAAAAGTTAATAAAAAATGAAATATTTTACGAACAAATAAAATTAGAGTAATTTTAAAAACACCATTAGAATGCTTATCAAAATCCGCATCCAACGAGCCCTATATGAACTATTTTGGATAAACGGGTGTTAAATTAATAATTAATAATAAAAATTATTTAAATAATTAATAACATTTGAAGAAATGAAAATAAATCGTCAATTCTTTTTTTATTTGGAAGATCATCTAATTCTGTTTTATTTAACACAGAATTAGATGATCTTCCAAATAAAAAATATATTTTTTTTAAAAAATAATTTTTTTCTAAAAGTTTAAGGTCTTTTGCATAAAAAACATTCACAACATTTTTTTCTATTTTTAATAGGGGAAAAGTTATAAGTAAAACAAAGAACTATTGCTCTAATTTGTTATTGTAAATATCTCGAAAAATATTAAAAATTTCGAATTCAAAATTTGTACACTTATTTAGCACCATTATCACTACAATTTACCGAATTTTGAGAAAAATCCGAGGCATGACCCTGTATTCTCATATGAAATGTCTCTAATATTAAATTTTATCAAGAATGTACAGAAAAAAAATCTATTTTTATTAATAACATTAAATTTATTATTTATTAATACACCTTTTTATTCCACAGGATTAAAAACAAGGAATTCTTTTTATAAAAAAGCAGATCCTCCCGTCGCAAAAAAAATTCTACCTCAAGGAACGGCAGCAATTCCACTGCCGCAACCAGCAGCAGCAATTCCACTGCCGCAACCAGCAGCAGCAATTCCACTGCCGCAACCAGCAGCAGCAAATCCACTGCCGCAACCAGCAGCAGCAAATCCACTGCCGCAACCAGCAGCAGCAAATCCACTGCCGCAACCAGCAGCAGCAATTCCACTGCCGCAACCAGCAGCAGCAAATCCACTGCCGCAACCAGCAGCAGCAAATCCACTGCCTCTACCAGCAGTAGCAAATCCACTGCCGCAACCAGCAGCAGCAAATCCACTGCCGCAACCAGCAGTAGCAAATCCACTGCCGCTACCAGCAGCAGCAAATCCACTGCCGCAACCAGCAGCAGCAAATCCACTGCCGCAACCAGCAGCAGCAGAAAATTCACCGCCACCACTACCACCTGCAACAGAAAATCCACTGCCACCTCCACCACCAGCAGACGAGGATAATTTGAATGTGGAATATATTGACCGTAGAAATACTGATCAGCAAAATTTTATTGTGCAGGAGGAAATCCAATTTATTGGTCAGCAATGGGGAAGTCCATCTGGACATTCTTGATAAAATTTAATATTAGAGACATTTCATATGAGAATACAGGGTCATGCCTCGGATTTTTCTCAAAATTCGGTAAATTGTAGTGATAATGGTGCTAAATAAGTGTACAAATTTTGAATTCGAAATTTTTAATATTTTTCGAGATATTTACAATAACAAATTAGAGCAATAGTTCTTTGTTTTACTTATAACTTTTCCCCTATTAAAAATAGAAAAAAATGTTGTGAATGTTTTTTATGCAAAAGACCTTAAACTTTTAGAAAAAAATTATTTTTTAAAAAAAATATATTTTTTATTTGGAAGATCATCTAATTCTGTGTTAAATAAAACAGAATTAGATGATCTTCCAAATAAAAAAAGAATTGACGATTTATTTTCATTTCTTCAAATGTTATTAATTATTTAAATAATTTTTATTATTAATTATTAATTTAACACCCGTTTATCCAAAATAGTTCATATAGGGCTCGTTGGATGCGGATTTTGATAAGCATTCTAATGGTGTTTTTAAAATTACTCTAATTTTATTTGTTCGTAAAATATTTCATTTTTTATTAACTTTTGTTAGTTAATTAATTAATATCTCGAAAACAAAAAATAATGCCATCTCAAAAATTTAACCATCGATTTATTATGACTTAAACAATATTCATGATTTTTTTCGCGCTTCCAAATGAGGGAGAACATGTTTAAAAGTTATAAACAAATTTTATTTTTTAAACAAATTGTTTAAAAATTAATATTTTTTTTAAAAAATAATTTTTTTCTAAAAGTTTAAGGTCTTTTGCATAAAAAACATTCACAACATTTTTTTTTATTTTTAATAGGGAAAAAGTTATAAGTAAAGCAAAAAAATATTGCTCTAATTTGTTATTGTAAATATCTCGAAAAATATTAAAAATTTCGAATTCAAAATTTGTACACTTATTTAGCACCATTATCACTACAATTTACCGAATTTTGAGAAAAATCCGAGGCATGACCCTGTATTCTCATATGAAATGTCTCATTATTACATAATTACCCTTTTTTATTAGGGTATTTTTCTTGCTAAATACAGGTATTAAGAAAATTATATTACCCTCCAAAGAATTAAAATAATTGATCAAAATTAATTTATTTGGAATTTAAATATAAAAACTGGCACGATTTTGACCCGTCCTTAAACTAGAAAATTTTTACTAATACAAATTTTTAGACAATAAAATATTTTTATATATATTGCTATTATATTTTTTTACAAAACGATGCAGTTTATGTTTACGAAGGCATATTTTTCAGAATTAAATTAACAAATATTTTGTACAAATATATTTTAAAAAAATGAATTGTTTTGAAAAGAATGATTATTTGTTAATTATTTATCGACTGTAAGCCAGTGAATCTTTTCACATTACCTTTCCAATAATTTTTATTTAAAGCACATTTGCACTTAGTTAAATTTCAACACTTGAAATATATTTAAGTACTTTGTGGATATTATTATTTAAATTTTGTAGACTAGCTTTTATATTACGGGCACTTTTAAATTTTGTACACACATGTTTTTTAATACGTAAATAATAAAAGTTTTTATAAGACACGAACAAAATCAATGTAATATTTTTGTCTTAAAATAATTATAATAACTTAAATTTTGACTTTTTATAAGGTAATTTCGTGTGGCAATTATCTGACATAAGAAAAAATCATAAATAAGTGTTTGATTACACTCGAAAAAGGTTAAAAGGGACAACTTTTAAAATCTTATAACTATTTGTACAGTTAACAAAAATATAATTTTTATGCGTAAATGTGTTCTTCGTTTAATTAACTTGAAGTATGCAGAACTATAAATCTCTGTTTATAACAAAGTTACATCATTTAAATAGTCAAAAGATATGAAAGACACAAGTAAAAAATGTTAAAAATTGGACTATAGAAAAAAAGAATAATTCTAAATCCACTTAATAAATGTATATTAACTCTATTATAAACGATAGTTTGCATTAAAAATTAGTATCTTCAACAAAAGCTAAATGAAAATTTATTTAAATTAACTAATAAAATTAAAAAAAAACAGATGTATTTACCATTCTTCTCTCCAGTGCGTTTTTTTGGTCCGCCACTATTCGTCTTTCTTTTTGACATGGTTTTCTCTAATAATAGAAAAATGTAATATTGAAATAAAATTTTTTTTATTTGATTAAGAACATAGGACGTCAAAAAGTTTTTATTTAAATTTAATGTAAAAAGAGTAAAATTATAATCTTACTTACTTTGTGACCTCGTGCTCTACCCTTGTTTTAAAAAAAGAATTTATCGTTTACCGCCATATATATACATGTATAAATAATGTTTCTTCACAGTGTTAATTTTTCTCACACCGCGTTCACACTTACAAATTTTAAGTACGCTGCGCTGCTGTCGATCGACAAGGATGGGTTTATTGGGATCCGAAATCTTGTGTACCTACTCAACCCTGAACCCACTTGCGGCAACCATCTTGTTTTGTCTCTTTCTTTATACATATGTTAGACAGAGACAAAATAAACAATGGTTACCGTAAGTGGGTCGACACCAGATGTCGTATCGCAGCTCTGCGGTTCCCAATGTTGTCATAAAATTTAAAGTTTAATAAATAATTTTAGTGACATTTCAGCTGTTTGTTATAGATAAAAACAATGAGTACTGATATTAATTTTTATAATTTCAGAGAGAGAGAGAGAGAGAGAGAGAGAGAGAGAGAGAGAGAGAGAAATGAAAATAGGGTTGGTTTAAAGGCACAAAAGGCAAGTCCAAGAAAACCATGAGTGCAAGAGAGATAGCTAGACTACTTTTCTCTCTTGCTTTCATGGTATTCGTGGACTTTCACTTGCCTTTTGTATTTACTTCAAGTGAACCATGAGGTTGGATTTACATGTTGATGTAAATACAGAATGCAAAACCGAAAATAATGAGAGTGAAAAGGACAGGGATATATCATTATCCTTTTCACTCTCATTATTTTCGCTTTTGCATTCTGCATTTACATCAACATGTGAGTCCATCCTGAATGTAAACAAAAAATTATTACTATCTCTTTCTATCTCTCATGGTTTACACTTTCCGCCGATGTTTTTACGTTGACATAAGACAGAATTTACAACGGAATTTTTTACAGTGTTTAGTATTATTTTTAAAAGTTTTATAAATTCTTTACACACTTAAGGTGCAATCACCTTAATGCCATGTCGTAAACATAGCAATGTTTTGCGTTGAGTTTTGTAAGTGGCCATGAGTATAAACATTGCAAACATATATTTGCGCTCGCCATTTGTCATAATTCTCGTCAACTACCGTACCTTGCTGTAGTGAAGCCTTAAGGCCAACGCACAACTAATTCTTGAACGGGAATGCAAACGGAATGGAATGAGTAAGAGAAGGACAAACATTATGTCTATCCTTCTCTTACTCATTCCATTACGTTTGCGTTCCCGTTCAAGAATTAGTTCTGCTTAGGCCTTTAGTGATTTTATTATTAAAATTAAAAGTTACTATAAAGATACTAAATTTTTACTAAAGCAGGGTGACGAGAATGATGACAACTGGCGTGTGGGGATAATAGAAACCAACCGTACGACGATCGCAACGACTGCGATTTGCTATACATATGGAACCGCTGTAATGAAAAAAATATATTGGGATTTGAAATACTGCTATACGCTATCTGGTGAGAGCCTTGTTGTCGTGGACGAGACGCATGAAAATCCCCTAAACTTCATATAACAGAAATCCCATTTGACAAAAATTTATATAACAGAAATTTCATTGGACACAATATTTACACAGCAGACGATTCATATAACAGACTTTTCATTGGACAGACGTTTGATTGGACAGAATTTTTATCGAACAGAAATGTCACTTAACAGAAATTTTATCTGACAGAATTTCCATTCAACAGAACATAAGTATAGCAGAACTCTCATTGGACAGAATATTCACACGGCATACGATTCATATAACAGATTTTTAACTGGACAGACGTTTGATTGGACAGAATTTTTATCGAACAGAAATGTCACTTAACAGAAATTTTATCTGACAGAATTTCCATTCAACAGAACATAAGTATATCAGAACTCTCATTGGTCATAATTTAACTTTTGCATCTTACATTCTCATCCCTGCCATATTTTTAATTTGACGGTAAAGTATATGTAGAGATTAGTAGTTGCTATTTTTTTCTCGCGCAGTTTGAATATTAAATAATAAAACTATTATTTCATTTTATTATTATTGATAATGAATGACTAATAATTATAAATGAATAAAATATAGTGAATAAATGTTTTATATTAATATTTCATACTTTGAAGCGCTATGAAATGTATTATAACTACTACTGACCTCTACATCTACTTTACCGTCAAATTAAAAATATAGCAGGGATGAGAATGTAAGATGCAAAAGTTAAATTATGACCAATGAGAGTTCTGCTATACTTATGTTCTGTTAAATGGAAATTCTGACAGATAAAATTTCTGTTAAGTGACATTTCTGTTCGATAAAAATTCTGTCCAATCAAACGTCTGTCCAGTGAAAAATCTGTTATATGAATCGTATGCCGTGTAAATATTCTGTCCAATGAGAGTTCTGCTATACTTATGTTCTATTGAATGGAAATTCTGTCAGATAAAATTTCTGTTAAGTGACATTTCTGTTCGATAAAAATTCTGTCCAATCAAACGTCTATCCAATGAAAAGTCTGTTATATGAATCGTCTGCTGTGTAAATATTGTGTTCAATGAAATTTCTGTTATATAAATTTCTGTTAAATGGCATTTCTGTTATATGAAGTTTAGGGGATTTTCATGCGTCTCGTCGTGGACATGTTTTCATTCCGTCTTTTGTAACATATGTTCAAGAAATAGATAAAAATCCAAAATGGTTTCACAAGAACCACCATCTACGCAATGCAATGCGGTCACAGCTCAGCCTGCAAGGCTCGTGTATGCAGATTTCTATGTTAACTTTTGAGAGTGAGAGATAGCTAATTGCTTTGTTTCTCTCATGCTTACAAGTTTCCATAGCAACCTGCATGCTCGAGTCGTGTAGGCTGACCTGTGACCGTTCCCTAAAGCTTAGTCCAGAATAAGCACGTAAACGGTATCTTATAACGTTAACGTGCTGATGTCACCCATTTGATGCTGACTCTACATTGGCTGCGCAAACGTATACGTGAACGTGCTGACATCTCAATGTTATTTAATTGGGTGACGTCACACATTTCCGCAGCCAATGTAGACTCATCATGAAATAGCATTGTGACGTCAGCAAGTTAACTTTATAACGTAACGTTTACGTGCTCATTCTGGATTCACCTTAAGGATACGGTCACAGCTTGACTTGTCTGTCTGCGGGCAGACGGGGCTAGGGGGCGACATGTGTGTAAGCGAGAATAAAACTTTAATTTGAATTTTCTTTCGCGCTTCCACTCATGTCACCCCGCCTGCCCATAGGTAGACTGCCTAGCTGTGACCGTACCATTACGACGCTCGAAAAGACGCAAAGACATTTCGCCTGCATTTGAAAACGTTGTGTCCACAATAGACCAAAAACATGAACGTAAACGTAACGTCACAATGTATTTTATATGAATACGTTAAAGCGTAAGCATAACTGAGTATCCGACTTGCGTACCCGACTCAGTCGTGCTTAGGCTATTACGTTCACAATCATGTTTTTGGTCTATTCTGGACTTAGCCTGAGAATAAACGCGACGTGTACGCAACGCTCGTTCTTAGTCCTATTCCACAATGGGGGATGCATCGCGTCTACGCTGCGTTCGCCTTGCGTCGAGCCAATTGTGGAACGAGTCTTAGGATCCTATTGGAGACACACCGTAATGCCTATTACGCGCTCGTCGTAAAGGCTTTTAAGGCCATTCTCCAATAGGATCATAAACTCTTGCGTTGCGTATGCATTGCGTCGGTTGCTATTGGCAACCAATGCTAAAATCAACGCGTCAGTCACGCAACGCAAAAGTTTAGGTTCCTATTGGAGAAAGGCCTTTATCCAATATGTTCCTAAATGTTTGCGTTGCGTGACTGACGTATTGGTTCGCAAGCGCAGTGACGTCATCAAAGCATTGATACCAATCGCGAACAAAAAGTTTGGTTTATGATTTTAAGACACTGATTTTTTTAATTATATAAATTAAATTATTAAAATTATTAAAAGCCGTCAAGAAACATTTGCATTAAAAATTGTAAAGTTAGAAAACAGGGATAAGAACCAAACTTTTTGTTCGCGATTGGTATCAATGCTTTGATGACGTCACTGCGCTTGCGGACCAACGCGTCAGTCACGCAACGCAAACATTTAGGAACCTATTGGAGAAAGGCCTTAATGGAGCCGTCACAGCTCGGCTGCCTGCCTGCGAGCAGACAGGGCGAGGGGGCGACATTAGTGTAAGCGAGAAAAAGCCAGTTTTTCTTCTTGCTCACACTTATGTCACCCCCTTGTCCCGTTTGCCCGCAGGCAGGCAGCCGAGCTATGACCGTATCATAAAGGTTGCGTTGGAATTTCTATACGCATTGTCTGTACTTCCCGATGATTTCTGATGTTTAGATTCTTTATCCGGGAAGTCCAAGGAAATAAAAAAATTACATAATGTTTATAAGCGATTTTGTATGAAAGAGAAATAATGATGGTGGTAGTGGAAGTTTTCTTAGTTGTTTAAAATTTTTAACTCTTTACTACCTGCACCAACACTTTTGACTTGCATAAGTAATCTAACAGTGCATATTGTTGTCGTTGGTATTAAAAATCAATAAATCAGTTAATACAAAAAGCTAGTTTACATTCTGGACAAGTCCATAGAATAAAGTGGATTAATTCCGTACAATAATAACTATCCATCAGCGCAGTTGCAATTTTACAAAATTTCTAATTGAGATAACCTTACAATACATCTATTGATAATATTACTATTAATTTGTAAGTTGTTAGTAAATAATGAATATATCGTTATTTATTATATAGTCAATTAGCTGGTTTCGCCATGAGAAATTTTTAACAATTTTCATATAAAGGAAGTTTGTCATTGGCTGTTCATTTGACGGTATCGCTTTATTGTTCCGCATAAAGCTTGCTATCAAGAAAAAAATCATGTCAGTGTATAAGTTGACACATCTTAACGTTTTTGTTTTATGGTTTAATGAATCGTTTTATTGAGTACAATAAGATAATATAATTAAAACAAGAAGAAAAAAAATTAAACATTCAGTACTGTTAATTCTT